GCTGACTGAATTTTATTTATATGACTTTACGGTAAGATGTGGTTTGGTAGCCCTACCTGATGGACACAGTACTGTTGGGTTTAGGTTTAGGCGTTAGGGTTACGGGTTAGGGGTTATAGTTAGGGGTTAGGGTTAAGGGTTAGCGCAAATATTTCTCAACTATTGAAAGTACAATCGCGCACTCCCAATGGCTTTTCTTTTGCATACAACTATTTGACCTCGTCGCCTGTGCGTTCCCCGGTCCCACCTGTAAAAACCCCTTTTACCACCGGTCCCGTATTAGAAATGACGGGCTTGTTTACTTCAGGTTGGGCTAAAAAACCACATTCGACCGACTTTACGGATTTATTTCCGAGCTGATCATCAAAGTTAAAGACAAGTGGGGGGTAATGGATGCACAATTATTGTAGTATTCATAGGATGTAGCTGATATCCCACCACATATTTATCAAAAATGGCAGCTTCCGCATTTATTGGAGATGGTCTCATTTGTTGCAGTGATGGCGTGGTGATTTGCGTCTGAGTAGTTAGTTGCCGTGACCTCATCAACGTTGTTATCGGCGTAACAAGCACACATGCATTTGGCTCATGGATACTGTCGCCATCAGCAGGGTTCTCCTTCGGCCTCCCCGCCCAGACAGTCTCAGCACGGAATATAACGCGGATGGCGAGGCTTTGCGCTTGTTAAAACGTGACTCGAGGAACCATCATTCAAGCATGATCGTCGCCTCCCACAAAAATTTCGGTTATGTCGTATTTGAAGGTTTGGCCGAGTCTCATCGAATGGGCCGCAACTTGAGAGCTAATGCCATTTTTCCTAATTTCTGCTGGGTGTTCAAGCATCGGTGTGCAATGTAATATCGAGGTTTCTTAGACACGATTGTTTTACCCAAAACTGCACCAAAATCGGCAGTTTTTTCCTGGAGTGGTAGCGAGTCCTTCGGCCTCACTACTCGGCTCCTGACGATTGCCTGCGTTCCTGCTGCCGCCGCGAATTTTAGTGGCGTGAGAAAACGGCCGACCGCTTTCGAAGTGCATTTGAAGCGCGAGGGCTCCCACCAAAATTCGAGACCGGCACGGTTTGAACTGCTTTTTCGTTTACACATGAACCGGTTGACGAATTTGCGTGGGTAGCCACTCACTCTGAGCACCCGCTATCTCATGAAATGTTGACCGAAATTCTGAAATGCGTTTTCAATGCTTAAAGGTTACCTAAGTGGAGTTGTAATATTAATTGTCTTGTCGCATAATGCAAAGGCAATTTATTCACGTTAAGATGTCTGCTTCCGAGTGAGCTCCTTGTCGACAGCCTGCTTAATTTACATTCTGTAAAGGACAGCTACTCAAGTAGTATTAATTTTTCCTGCTGATTTTCGATGCTCATATAAATCCAAACATATTTTATGGAGAACACGCACAATAACATTCTCTATTGTCCTCATTTGATACCAAATTATGTCTTCTTCAAAGTTTGAGAAAGAGTATCTTTCGGTTTCAAAAACGTTTCTAATTATGGGATTTTTTAAGACCGTGAAACGCCAAATCGTACAGCATCGCATTAGTAGATTTATTAGTGCTGATCACAAAGTGGACAACATGGTCCACATTCATTACAAATCTTTGTGAACGCTGTATGTCCTCCGTATAATGGCATATAGAAATGTATAGTTTTCCCTGCATAAAAAGTGGACAGCCTTTGGTTCGGAAACTCTGAATGCAAGTGTGACCGCAGGTCGAGTTCAGAATTGTTCGGGGATTGGCAAAGTTCTTAAGACCGAGGGGTACTCTTTCTTCAAGCATAAAATTCAAAGGAGACGTAATTAACTACCTAATGGGTAAAAGAAGGAATATTTTTGTGCACGTTTTTTATGAAATATGTTTGAATTTATAAGGGTATCAAAAATCGACGGGGAATATTCATGCTACTTAAGTGGCACTTTCTTACGGTATATGGTTTGCACAATCGATCAAAAGAAACCTCATTCGATAGCCAGCATCCTGCCGTCACTGGAATATGTTAACATCATGCAACACTCTAATTAATATTACAGCCCTACCAATGCAAACATTTCGAATTGAAAACACATTTTGGAATTTTATTCAGCATTTCATGAGATAGCGTGTCTATTGTAGCCACCAATGTAGAATTAACAGGAGCCTACCATCCGCCGAAAATGAGTACTACCTTTGATTTATTTAAGTCAGTAAAATCAGAAGGCACACGCCGAACCTGAGGTGACGGCGTGAGTAGAAATTTTAATAAAAATTGAGTCAGGTTTCAGGCATTTTAGCACATTGAAACAAAGAGTTTTGTATCACTACGACCTGGCCTCTAATGGTTGCTAAAGGCCAGTGTCCGATCCCCACTCCAAGAGGTGAGAAGATGGCTGACAGCCTCCAATACGTGCTTAGCGTACGTGAGCGCTCGCCCAAAATTCGGACACCGGTACTATTCGGTCACTCGTCTCGTTTGCTCTAATGCCCTAAACCAGTGAACCCATTGCCGTCCCTTCACCTGTTCGTGGATTGTTTCTTCTGGCCCGAAGTACGAAGAGACCGAGGTCCAGGATTTTGAAAACTTGGGCATGTTCAAAACTATTCGCCGCTTCGCCGTATTTGCTGTGCAGGAGTAGTTCGACGATCCCGGCTGCCAGCTCCTAAGGAAAAACAGTAAAGAGGGACACGACACTAAAAACACATTGGTCTTTTTGACAAAAAACTCACTCCTTTCGGATTTTTCAAGAATTATGTTTATTACCCGACTGTGGCGTCAGAATCAACGGTCAGAGATGTGAGCTCCTGAAACGGCCACTTTACTAATTCATAAATGGGACAGCCTTGGAATGACACGAGGGGCCGGAGGTGAGCGCCCTCTTTGTGTCGAGACACCTGCAAAGAAATCGAGTCTGCGCATAGTTTCAGACCTCGGAGGGTGCATTTTTCCCCTTGCTGAGCCGATTGAAGCTCCTCCCCCCAAATCAACACTGGTGGTGAAGTTGAGGCTACTAAAGAGTCGGATGCAGACGAACAAGCAAGTATCGCACCAAGTACGAGCCTACGCGATAAATGCGGGAGCCACTAATTCTAGTGGGTATGCAGCGGCGTAGTAAGTGCATCCTACAAGTTTTGTAACCTCTGCGCGTCCATAGCTGCCTTTGATGATGGATTCGAGTGTTAATCCGACACGTCAAACGAAGGAAATTATTGCTCCACCCATCCCATCCCCTTCTCAACTGCCTCCTGAGACTCTGCCTTTTAATTGCCTCGACTGCTGTTCCGTTCGTATTCGTCGGAGCAAAGGCACTCATTTTCGCCTGATTTCAGATATCTGTTAGAATCGTAAACTGCCAAAATGGACAGGCTTGTGCCTGAGCTTTTGACCTTACCTTATCACCCATCTATACTTATTCGGACCTATTGTGCTAGGCGGACGATGAGATGAAGGGCATTATGTTGAAGTTATTTCCTTGACAGCGGTGACCTATAAGGAGCGCGCACCTATGCGCATGAGGCGGAAGTTTATTTCTGTCTTGTTTTGGCTTAATTCGCTGAGTTATTTGCATAGCGCTTATCTGCACTCCTATCATACCAACAACAGTCACTGACTGCAAAGGAAAATGAAGATATTTGTGCTCCGACTTCACATTTTGTCAAAAATAGCATCGGATTTTCATATGGGGACTGTTTTTTTTTTCATTGAGCAAGTCGTTTCCACAATCATCCACTGTCCATTTGTTTTGTTTTTAGGATAAATAGAGTTTAGTAAGTAAACTTCTAGGCTTTTAACAATTCAGAAGAGATTATTGATTAAAGTCTGTCGGCCAAAACACAGAACAATTTTCTGGATAATCTCTCTATGAGGACAACATAGCCACGGCCGAGAGGTGCTGCAGATCGAGGAGATCGGGCCTAGCCGAGACTTGTAGGCCGAATGTTTATCTGATCACTGACCAGTTTCCTTATAGACCTGTTCATTTCACTCTTTTAATGACGAATCACCCATCTAATCCTGTGACTTTCTGATTGAGGACTGTCCCTTGACATCACTTAGAATCTTGAGGATCGACCACTTTCCGGATCACTCAGCGGTTTGGGTGAGCAAAAGGTCTCTGTTGCTGCGACAGACAGCCGGCCAGTCGTACTGAATGGAGCCACAGCGATGCCTCACCGAATGCCCTCCAACGACTCCGATGATGGACGTCTCTTATGCACAAACGAATCACCATTTGCCCTCTCTAGCCATTCGGACGGTTGCCACAGCAATGATGGTTCTCTTTCAGATAAATCGGCAAGTTTTCTTGAATGACACCTATCTGATTTTGTGTTACCTTCATGTCATGAAGATGTGGACCTCAAATTGTCGAACCATAAATTTGTCGAACCTCAAATTGTCGACCATAAGTGATCGATGTTAATTAATTACTATAGCATTAATCTTTTAGTTACCACCTACCTCAGAGATTGTCTAAGGGCGCACACTATGTTAGTCCGTGAGGTCAAGAGAAAATCTAAGAAGGCAATTATATATGGATCATGAGGGGGCTTACATACTTGGGGATGTTGTTCTTTCCCAACAGCCGCGATGATTCTTCATGGTTACAGCTTGTTTCTTGTAAGCAAGTTAACGCCAGCCTAAAGTTCTCTGACCAATATTTCAGCCAGCCAACGCTAGTAGGTTTAGACAAACAGAATAAATTTACTGATTCCTACATAGTCGAACGACTGCAAGAACTACTTTAGGAGGAACCACTCTATGTGATCGCTCTAGATCGGAGACCGGTTCCCTTATAGTGCACAGTCGCTTGGCAGAGGGCGACCACTTACTAAAACAAGGCGAACTGAGGCGTGTCTAATATTTTTGCCGTTATCAGACAGACAACATCCTGCCTCGATTTTGTTGTTATTAGTAAGAAGCCGCAGGCATACCAAAGTCCGTTAGGCCGAGTAACCGAATTCTCAATTTGGTGACCTCATAACAATTTCGATCTCTCTATCTATCTATGGTTAATAGCCCAAATGCCGTGCGGTTCTTCTTCGACCAAAAATCCATGCTTTCCATTGTTTACAATCCCAAGCAGCCTCGGGCTTGTGATGCTGTGGGTTTGCTTGCCTCCCCTATACACCACCTCTAACTGCGGTCCAAGGAGAGGATTAAGTTTGCCTAAGCAGGGTTAGGACCAGCTGCCCTATGGCCGGATCTTATCAACTTATTTTAGGTTGCGTAGCTTTGTTTACTTTTACTGCCTGAAGGTGGATGTGTGTGTGATTATTTTACAGGTGTCCGACCTGCCGGAGGTTTCGGAAAAACTCAATCAAGTCTACGATCTAGCTAACCGGCTTCAGATAAACAAGGTGACCACAAAACCAATTCCCATTTGCTCCACACACACATTTATGTCTCTGCTTTAATTTTTCAACCCACATGAGCCGAAAGTCATTTCATCTATAAGAGCCGATGGCCGTGCGAAATTGCTTCGCACATTTGGCTCTATCATGATTTTCGGCGTGCACTTTTCGTCCTCAGCTGTCCCACGGGGTCTGTCCATCAACAGTTGATAAAACATAGAGAGTTTCCTTGCTATGACCACGATTGACAAAACTGAGTGCTCCTCTTAGAGAACTGGTAGAAAGACCACACCAAGGCAGACTGACCTTCGACCGCAGCAGGGGCTCCACCACACCCTGTATGACTCATTCCCGGTTCCCAAAACAACATCTGATCTGATTGGATGACTGACATTTATCCGAATTTCACGAGAAACTCATTTACCTAGCCCCCTCGATAGGCCAGCCATCGCGAGCGATGACACTAACCACTGGCACACGAGGTGGGTGGGTGTAGCCGATGTTTGAATTACTGCAGATGAGACTGAACTTTTGAAGCGTTGTTGCAGACGCTTATGAGCTGGCGTCTCAAGATCAAAACAACTCTGTGGCCCTGTGGCATGCAGTATGGCCATACACAGGTAAGTCGACCGTCTGAGGCAACCACCTCCGCCGTTGTAATATGCGTAGATCGGTAGAACATGCGCTTTCTTCCTTCGTTCCGTCTCAGTATTGTCGTCAGAAAGAGCATGGAGGCTGCCGCGTAACTACTTCTTTAGGCCAGTCAGCACCGGGGTGACCTGCGTTAAAAACAGCGGACCAACCATCGGTTGGCAACGCAGTGCCGGTGCAATAGATTTAGACAGATGGAAGAATTTGGGCATGCGAAGTCTTGTCAGTTGAAGAGGGGGATGGTCACACGTGATAATTTTTTCAACGTCTGACGTATGCAGGTGACACAGGTAAAATCGACCGTCTGAAGCGACGACCCCCATCGCCGACCCCCCACGGTGGCCCGGCAGTGGTGACTTGCGCGTGCATTTTGTTTCACAGTGAAGCAGACTTGCGTTACATTCAAATCATTCATGCTCTGCTCCAACACCCACCATCTCCCGACAACAATCAAGGCGACTAGAAATGGGCGTGGGTGCGATGTCTGACAAATGCGAACAGACAGTCCACGCATGCGATGCACGACATTGTCCCCACCTCTTCTCGCAAACTTTTCCATTCGGTGGATTGTCCCGGACTTAAATGAAAGTGACATAGAAGCTACATCAGGGAAGAGTCTCTGTAGTCTAACCCTCAGTATTCAGTAACACAGAGTTGTTGCTTCAGTTGGCAGCCTTTCAAGTCACGGCGGTTAGCATGTCGTGAAAAGTAGGGCGTTAAATTCGAGCTGGATTTCTCCCTCTCTCTCTCTCTCTCTCTCTCTCTCTCTCTCTCTCTCTTTCTCTCTCTCACTCTCTCTCTCTCCTCTCTACTTTAGGCTTTCTTTAGCATCCCCCGTCCTTCTTCCATACACCACTGACTTGTCTGAGTCAAGACAACTTGGTACGAGCTTGTGTGTAATGACTCACATGACAAATGGTCCACGTCCAACGCGTTCCACACAAGAGATCGGATGTCATTAAAATGAGAGGTGCCGTAAGGACGACACTAAGAATGCGTAATTTGCGGCCTAATTTTCGTTCCAAAGAAGGACCGAATTATTCCGTCCGTGGGTAGTTTTCAGACCATGATGTTTAACACGCCAAGTTTATTGTAGTGAGGACTGTGCTGATTTGGCACGAGGATGGATTCTTCGGGTCTGGTCTGACCTACCTAGCAACCTTAATTTTTATCACGTGCAAACGCTCTGCAGCATTTCATTTCTACCTGCTGCTACAGAAATCAGCGCGAACGTGCTGCATAGGCAGACGAGGGCCGTCTAATGGCTTGGGATCCAAAAAGTACGTGCACAGACCACTATCAGCGCCGACTGCACCCCATCAGGCTCCTTCCTGGCTTTGATTCACCGCCTCGGTCGGCGAGCTGCAGAGCGAAGGTGTGCAGGGAGTAGTTTTCAGAGGAGAGTGCAGTTGCGATGCGCCGCAAGTCAGCTGACGAATTGATGGAACCGGTCAAGTTTTTTTTCACGGACTGCATTGATTCATAAGGAATTGCTGCCGCTACTGCATCCGATGCTGAAATGCCATGTATTCTCAACTTTAAGGGAGGCGAAAGACGACTGCTGGCCAAAGCAGTCTAGGTAATTCGTGTCCGATTTGAACTTTGGTCACAGTCAATTCATGCTGGCCATTGTAACTTTAAGGTCTCGTGACGATAGTCAACAAGTCGGGAACACCTACTACAAGAAGTGCAACACTAGCCGGAGTGTGGTCTTTCCGGTGACTCGTCTTCAATTTCTGTCCTTTAAGTGTTCAGAAGAAGTCGGAGAGATAAGTCTGAACATTTTCTCCGTTTTTTCTGCGGAAGTTCTTTCGCGAACTCCCGTTGTTTTTTGTGCCGGCTCCACGGACTATGGGAGTTTATAAGCAACTTCCAGTAGCTCAATTCTCGGCTTTTTGTCCTGTCCGCCTCCTTGTTAATTTGAAGTTCCCTCACTGCCTGCGACGTCCGCTTCCCAGACTGGAAAATCAGAGACTACCTTGGAGATTTGGGCGTGTGTGATGTCTTATTTTTTCATCTCTCACGATATATACATATATGTAAACGATGCATATCACCTAGCGTAGTTTCCGTGCGTCATGGGTGGCCGCCCAGTCTCCGTCCACCCCCTTTCCCTCTTCATACGCCATGCGTGACACTAGTTCTCGTGTGTCGTCTGAATCATACCAGCTAGCCGAGGGTCGACTGGAATGGCCTTTCTTGAGGACCAAACAGTTGGATAGACGTCCAACTTTTATACTGGTTTCGAAAAGTACTCCTAACCCCAAATTTGCGTCTGTATCATACTCAACCGGAGGTCGAATAGGGTTGTAAATTCAGACTTGTGAGAAACTACTGCACTCATAAGGAGCTTTCAAAACCGCAGCCCGGAAAGCCGCCTGGAGGTGATTCTCCCTTACAAATATGATTATCCTGGTTTTTGAAATGTGGCTCGATGTTCAGGTGAAGAGAAGCGCTTTGTGATATTCGTTGATAGATAGAACACGCACTCTCGTCCTTCGTTCTGTGTCAGTATTGACGCTGGAAAGTTATGGAGATCGGGGCGAGAAAGTATGGACGTCGCCGCGCAACTAACTACTTCATTCTTCATGCTTGTCACAATCGAAGGTGGTCTGAACTAAAAACAGTGGCTCAACCACCGGTTGGCTCTGCAGTGCTGGTCCAATAGACTTAGACGGATGGAGGAATTTGAGCATGCGAAGTCTCTTCAGTTGAAGCGGGAGGGATCGACACACGTGATAATTCGTCCAATAAACTAGACGAAGATCACAGTTACTCGCGGAACCAGCGGTAGCTTGCAGGGGATTGCGCTGAGGGAAGTCCCACTACTTCAATGCGAATGGTTTTACAAGGCGACAGCGACGAGTGCCGGCTCCCTGAATTACCAGGCACTTCAGCCCCGTCTCTCGCGTACATCGCCAGCAGCCAACACGGAAAAACGTCTCACACATAGATTTTTTACTGGTTAGAGATGTCACAAGACCATGCTAAGGTGAATACACTCCATCCCGGTTCCTAGTCCCGATCACCGAGTTATCCTGCCAAGTGGCAACTTCCCAGGCCGCCACTTTGGACCGCCCTGATGTATATATACACACCGAGTATATTATTGGTAAGGAAGGGTAGTGCTGGTGGTTAGTGTGGCCTGAGAGCAGTTGAAGTGTGATGACAGTGCTGCACAGTTCCTTCTTAAAATAATTCAGCGTAGATCGAAGTTTTATTTATCGCCAGAGTCAGTTTTAATCAAGAGTAATAAGCGAACCACCTTATGTGTGCGTGGTGCTTCGCTTGTATTGTCTCTTGTGCCCCCCAAACAAGCCACCGCGGTAAATGCACTGGACCAACACGGGGCCACATTGGATCCTGGCAGGCATTACCGGAATGTGCACCGTAACAAATGCCACCATTCGGGGTGCGGTGGCAGGCCCAGTTGCCGGCTCACATCGAGCACAGTAGGATCGCTGTCGCCTCCCCACTTTTGTTGTTGGTTAAACACCTGTTCAAGCGCTGTGTGGACCAGGTAGTGTGGAGTGGAGCGCCAAGGTGTGGGCTCAGCCGTGCCATCCACCTGCGCCTCCCCCCCCCGCCTCCGGTTTTCTTGGCTCTTTCTTGACCTTACTGTGAAGCAGGCACGGTAGACATTGTCGGTCACAACGGTCGACGGTTGCAGTCATCCATGTCTGCCGTTAATTTTGCCTATTATGATGGCTCAATCAGGGGGTCGGAATAGCAGAAACTTGTAGCTGATTTCTTACCGAACGAGCCGCCCAGTATCGCCACGCGATTCCGATTGCTAAATTTCGCGTCTCGGATCTGGCGCACACACAAGCGTCTGTCAACTCCTTGGCTAATGGAATTCACAGCGAATGCATGCTGATGACGCTCGCGGCATTGCATCGTTTGAATACTTTTGCTTGCTGTTGGTGGCGTATTGAATAATATAGATGTTCCCCTCATCGACACACGCGATGTGAGCTCCGTTTGCCGTTAATGCTTAAGTTATTTGCATTGAGAACACAGGTTCTGTGGTTCAGAAAGGAGACATTTCTTATCTGTTTCCTTAATTACATTTCTCGCCTTTAGGTCAGTGCATTCTTTTTGCAATTAGTAGATGCCGCCCTTTCAGAGAGCTTAAAAACGTCCGGTTTAGTAAATACCTGCTGGACAACTGTTTTGAGTAACTTAGTCGGTAGTTTACATTTTGTCATTGAGAAGCATCGACGTGCCATTCCTTACAAGAGGCCTGCTACTTAAATGCACAATAAAAATCTCTCCCAATGTCAAGTTTATTTTCAGGCTTAAATTCGCCCTGCAACTTCGACCGCCAATTTGGGCGGATACGCAAATGTATAGTCAAAGGGGGCATATGTAGGGTTTGTGAAGAGTCTCTGGCAACCCGGCACAGGGTGAGGGCAAATTAGAGAAGTCAGCAGTAGCAATTTCCTACGACTCGTACTTCTGCGTAGGACGGGATACCAGTCTCCTCCTACGAGCCACATCTACTCCAACCTTCACGTTCGTGTCTCGCTCTACGCTGCTGGGCGAAATCGCGCACATGCATGAGTGTCGCGTGCGTGGCCCACGCAAGGAGGCGGTCTTTGCGTCACGTCAGCCTTTGCACCCACCCTCATATTAAGCCGCTGGTCGAGAGACCGCCATGACACGGGATAGGAAAGGGTGATTTTGACCGAACCAGAGGAATCAACTCTTACGGCGAATCGGCACAATTCTCACTAATAATAAATCTGATGCGCTTGGACCCAGTAGGACTTGCTAAACATCATAAAGCAGTTGGGTTAACTCATGAAATGTCAACCGAAATTCCGAAATGCGTTCTCATTTCGGAAAGATTAATTAAGTAGGGTTGTAAAACTAATTAGTCTGCAATATAATTCTATAATAATTCAGTTACCTCAGGATGATGGCTTTCGTAAGAACGTCCTTCCCGATGCATACAAAAACCATACTCTGCAAAAAATGACTACATAATTAGCATGCATTTTTCTCATTGATTTTGGATGTCCCTAAAAGTCCAATTATATTTCATGGAAAACATGTATACAAATATTCACTCTATTGCTCATTCGGTAGAAAATTACGTCTTCTTTCAATTTTATACTCTAAGAAAGGGTATTAATCGGGTTTTCAAAAACGTTTCTCATTCCCGAATAATTTTGAACCCGCTCTGCCGTTACACTTGCATTCAGGGTTTCCAAACTACAAGCTATGCATTTTCCGCGTGGTGAAAACCACACATTTCTCTACGGTATTAAGAGAAGACAATATGGGGTTCATAAAAGTTAGCATTGGATTTGGTCCATATCGTTAACTTTACAAGCCACATTGGTAAATGCAGAGACATGACGTTTTATTAACGGCCATTTCACGGATTTTAAAATTCGCACAATTAGACACTTTTTAAGACCGAATTATGTTCCTCTTTCAAGTATAAAATTGGAAGACGACGTAATTATCAACCGAATGAGCAAAAGAATGAATATTTTTATGCATGTTTTCCATGAGATATAATTTAACTTTTAGGGGCATCGAAAATTAGTAATAAGAATTCATGTTACATAAGTAGTCATTTTTTGCAGAGTATGGTTTTTGTATGCAGCCGGAAGAAAGTTCTTACGAAAGCCATCATCCAGAGATAACTGAATTATTATATAATTATACTGCAGACTGATTAGTTTTACAGCCCTACTTAATTAATCTTTGCGAAATGAAAACGCATTTCGGAATTTCGGTTGACATTTCATGAGTTAGCCCACCTACTGTAGCTTGAAAGCCACCCACTGACGGGTTAGTTGGGCCTTTCTTTGGAATGAAGGCCTGGCTGCAAATTACTAATTGTTGTTAATGTGGTCTTTATGGCCCTCTCATTTTAATGACATCCGAGCATAGGCGTTAGACGTAGACAATTAGCCACGTGAGTTGATGCACGCGAACTCGTACCAAGTTTGGCCAGCGCTTCCGTACGTGAAGAACGTCTCGGCGGCCGTCAGCCGCCCTCTCGCACCGCTTGAATTTGGAGCGGCACACAGACCAGAGGCAATCATCGGACGCCAGGTAACGAGATCAAAATGCTTACTGCCGCGGAGAGAAAAACCCAAGTTCGTTTAGCGTGGACAGAGAAATTAGCCACACGGGGAGCGCGCTGGCGAATACTGTTTACAGCACCAATATCGGTGAGCCAAATAGTCGGTAATCATCACGCCGGCATCCAATACAGATAATGAAATTGCAACGAGTAAGGCAGAAACGACTATTCCAAAATCCGTAGCCTTTCCCATTGGGCTTCTGCTAATCCTTTCTGTTGCAGACAGTCTTATTCGCCACAGCATTTGAAGTTAAGGCTTTCTCGGGCTTCTGTTTCGCTTCTTTACATAAATTTGTTTTTCAGTAGCGGAGCCTTCCCCTCCACAGCCACCGAAGTTGAAAGTCTTTTCTGTCCAAGCTCATCTTATTTTGCTTAGCATATTCGTCTCACACGGAATTTGACTTCCGATGTGACCCTGCAAACAAAAGCTGAGCGTCTAACTGGTAGGCAGCTTGCTGGCTCGAAAGGGAGAGCGTTTTGGCTCAGACCTATGCCAACGCCATTTTTTGCTACATCTGTGTCATTCGGATGGAGTTTGACCCTATGATTGAGATGAACGCGTTATGACGCCCGAAGGTTGGACAAACTGTCTGCTCAGTCAATGCATCTACTTTATTCTCAAATCGCTCCGACAAGGTCTTTGCAGTGCAGAGAGGAAGGGTGAGGCCGATAGTATGCGGTCATCACTGTTGTAATTAACTCGTGGCATCTTAGAAGTCTCGGATTGAAAAGATTCCAACTGTTCCAACAACTTGTTCCCACTTCTCAAGAGGCATCATCTCATGCCTGTCTTAATGCAGCCTTAGCGGTAACTCTCGGGACTACCATTGACTGATAATGTGAAGCCCGACTGCGACTGTGCTAATCATTTAACGGAACGAATGTTGGACCAGCCACTGTGCAAACCTTTTGACCGGTTGCCTTGACTCTATCTTACAAACGATCTACTACGAGAAATGCGAGGCGAAAGAGAGGCAAGCCAATGTCATGCACTCCTTCACGACCACGATCAGCTTCACACGCAAACCATTATTGCCCACGTAGGGGTTTGCGATGTGTGTGTGGGTGTGTGTGTGGCATCGAAACATAATTAGCTAGTCGCCCCTTGCTAAGTGCGAGTGCACAAACAGCTGGTAGAAGGCCCTGGTAGGGGCGTGACTAGCTTGGAGTGGAAGTGCATGAAGGTAATGCTACTCGTATATCAGGGGATGTTCAGTGTCAAGGCAAGCGAACGCTCGTGCTCCTGTCGATGTGTCTGTGGACCAGGAAGTGGGCGTGGTCTTGCAGCTATGGAAGAAGAAGCGCTCTCGGCTTCATGGAAGAACGCTACCACAGGGGCTTCCCCATCGGACTTCTTGGACCAGCTGTCGGGCCTTCAAATTTTCCCAGATGGGATGAAGAGAACTCCGGTTACAGGAAAGACTAGGAATGGTGGTGACCTGTGAAATCTACGTCTTAATTTGAAGTGTTACAAGTTTTCACGGTTCCTCATCCCATATTTTAGCTCGTGGTTCGAATTTTCCGTCCGGACAAGACGACGAAGGCAATCCTCATCGACCATTGCATGACCGCTGGTGAAGTGGCCTCAATGCTAATCGAGAAGAACTTCCTTGAACCATCCATTCACTTGTGCCTAGTTGAGAAAGTTCCCTCGCTTAAAGTTGGTGAGTTGTTTTTTAAGGGTAATGTATCCCCTTCCATATCCCATAATGCCTCAAGAAGAAATATGATTCCACAAAATACACGTGAGAACTTAAGAGTTGGTGTATTCACTAGAAAAATGATGACTTACTTTACTCAACATCTGAAAGCAACGGAGTTTCACACTACTTAGTTAGTGGGCTTCCCCTTAGTATGATTCGCACAGGTGGTCGAACAGATGGTCAGCCGAGGGCCTTCGTATTCCTGTATACATATTTTCTGGAGTCTCGTCCCTTACAGTGGTATTGTAAGTTCATTCAGAGAATCTCTTTCGTTTAAAAAAATATTTAAAGATCCCGATCAATATCCGTCGAGGTTCTGCGGCTACAGTACGAATCTGAACCCAGCCCGTCATTTTGGCCAGGTTTCAATTTTGCGGGCAAAAAGGGCAGAGTTTCAGTGGAATATGAAAATCAATAACATTACCAAACTCTGTCTAAAACTTTTGTTTTTGGTTCTGTGAAGCAAAACAAGGGACCCGCATCAAAATTGGCTCGGGGAGCAAAAACAAAGCAAATTAATTCAAAGCTTAACGAAGCGTAACTTGCGGAACGTATATCCAGGTTTGCAGGCATAGCAGGTATAAAAAATACTTGATTAGTCTGGTCTGTCTTTAGCTTTAGGATTACTAGTCTGTTGCCTTCGCCTCTTAGAAGGTAATGATGCATCTTTGACTTTGCTTTAAGGCGGCTGTTTGACAAGCTACACTTTTTGGACAAAGGAATGATTATGAGGCAGAAAATAGCCGTATCGATGGGTAACACCTGCGTGAGATGCGTGGTTTGGGCTTACAGTACACTCTTTTGCCGTTTAATTCTTACTGCCTTAGGTACGCTTAAATTCTTTACACCTTTGATATAAAGTTCAAGAATGTGTTGTAGTTTTCGAAAAACTAGTCGAAAGCAATGACTACGTCTACTAAACTGAGCTTCGCTTTACACCAGCTGTTGCCTTCAAATACCTTATTTCGATTGAAGTCGCGGCAGAACCGTGTTGATTCGATCTCCTCGACTTTGATATATAAAGTCTCACGTTTTTTTATGGGAGCAACTTCGAGTTTATATGTAGTCTTTGAAAAAACCGCCGGACTGGAGGGACACTGCGCACTTACTTGGCATCCGAGCATAAGGTGGCGTGCCGTTCAAATTCATATCAGTGAGGAGGCCGGCGTACGCAGTTTACAGCCACAAGTCTGAAAAGTGGGATTGGAATGTTCCGTCTCCTCAACAACTCTTACCCATCCACAAGCCTGTTTCTGATCCTGCTCAATTGCCGATTAGTGTTTTATTGCTAGTTCCCGTGTTCGCGAGCGTCCGCTAAGCGCGCAGCACAGCACAGCCCAGCGCAGAACATAAACACCGACTCTCTAATGAAACTGCAGCAGCAGCAGAGCGACTGGGACTTTTGGCAAAGTTGCCCGAATGTTGAAAGCCTGCCGTCCTCGCATTGACCCACAACTGCCGCCGTCAAGGTGTTCGCGTGATAATACTACGTCCGACCAGCCGACCTCGTGAGGTCTCGCTGGGGGGGACGGACGTGTCCTCCCCTGCTCCGTGTTCACCTGGGTTGTTTCCGGCATGTTTCGAGGATCGCACGCCTTCGCTCATCCCTGATTCATCCTCCCCTCATTTTACAAACGCGTATTCCTCACGGTCGTCCGGTCACAGCTTTCCCGCCGGTCAAGAAGGCAAACAGACCCGTGTTATGCGAGGAATACGCAGAAATCGATGAATTTACACTGACGGACTAATTATTGTCGATACAAGCGAAAATGCAGGTCCTAGGAAGCAGTTGAGAGTAGACACGATCGCGCTTGAAACCATCGTCAAAGACAGTATCAGATAAGAGTACGGTAGGACTGACTTATTCGGCCCCCTAAACAGGACATGGGAATAAAGGTGGACCTGCGCATAATTCCGTAAAGGACAAAATATTCTCGTGCCCTAGCCCCAACAATAACCCTAATCATTGCCCTAATCTTTCCCTTAACCCCACCCTAAATTTTGACTCTGCAGTTACAACTAGCTCTTACCTTAGCCCTAAACTTTATCCTAACTTACCTTACCGCCAACTTCAAATCTAACGTTAGACCCAATCCCTAACCTAACCCTTATTTCACTGAACGTTGACCCAAAGCCACCTGTATTGCAGACGGCTCCTGTTCTCATGACCTTTTTATGGGCCCATATAAGTCAGTCCTACTGCGGGTTCGAGCATGAATCCGAAAGACCAGGCGGGTAAAGTTCTTGCTCCAGCGATCGCGTATTCTTCTTTCTAAACTATGAGTTTGATAAAGGCGGTGCTTGTCTCACTAATTCCCAACTCAAACAAGGGGACAGTCGAGGCATTCCTACTGTGATTACAGATCTCAACCTAACGTGGATGGTATTTATTATGCCCTTCTCTTTCTCCCCCCTCCCTCCCTACTGCCCATTCTGAGATTTTGTTTTTGATCTGACCTCCTGAAAAGATATCAGACTGAACATAAACTGCAAGACTTCCTATTCGCAAGACCAGTTTAACTAGCCTCGACTTTTAAAACTTCCTATTCCTCTACAATTACTGTGTCAAGCCTTGCGCTGCAGCCCCCTTAACCAAGGAAATTGCAAAAACCTTCTCCAGCGGGTCACACATTTGATGTGAAAATGCGCTCGAGCCACACCACCCCATGGGGGCTTACGAATCGGAGGTTGAAATCTCTTATCGCAGGAGAAACCCTAGAACAATGAACACTGCGCATAAAGAGATTCGTTGGTACACCCACGTTTAGATTCCAAGGTCGATTCACCAGAAAGACGGGCC